TCAGTATAAGGAGGATTGCGCATGGGTCGTCGAGGAGGCTTTCAACAATGTTGTGGAGCAACTGAGGATTTCGAACCCCGAGGTCGATTTGTTTACCAAGGGGACCGGGTTTCTCCATAATGTGGTAAACGGTCAGATCATCGTCCCATACTTTCTCATATTCAGCAAGGAGCATGAGCAGCATGCCTGCAAGGAGCCTCAGCCTATGGCCGACTAATTTTCTCTTTGTTCTACTTTCGGCCTGCAAGTCATAACTTTATAACTTTATCTTTTTGGATGGGGCTTGGCCCTTTTTATTGTAACCAGCACAATTGCGGTCCTCGTGGCTGTTTTATATGATACTATTTATTTTCGGTCGTGGTGGTCAGTGGTGTATGATTTGTTTTTAGTGCATGTTTTTACTTTGCTTAAATTCGCTGTGCCGCACACTTCTTATCACTTGTGCCCGTTGTATGGGCTATTTTTGTGAATGATTTTTATTATGTTTTGGGGTTTGCTTGACAAATTGGTGTTCGACAGTGAGGGGAACTGGTTGAAAGGCCTGGGTCATTTCCGGGCATGAGAGCGGAGCTCAGGTCGTATTTGTGGTCTGAGTTTGCGGCGTGAACTTCCCATTGTGAGCTAGGTGTTCTGCCTTTCGTGGTACATTGGCGACAGCAGGGTCGGTCGAGGGACCACTGTCGGACAGAGGGTTTGTTCGTTCTAGAGAAAATGCCTGCCTTGATTCATTATAGTATGCAGCGCTTGTACCGAGGTGCGCACTTTTGGTCAGTACATTATGCTCATCGTGTAGACGGAGCACGCCGACAGTTGTGGCCTTAGCTATAATATTGTTTTAGCTTTTTGGAATTCTATGGTCGAGCGAGTTCTTTCCTATTGAGATGTTCTAGATAGTATGCCCCATTCTCTATTTTTTCTCAAACACAATAGCGTCCTTCCCAGTTTGTGGTGAGTTTGCCTTCACGAGAATTTTTGTGACTTCTCCTTAAGAAAAGACTGCCCACTTGGAAGTCTCGTCGTATGACTTTGGCGTTATGCCTAATTGCGATTGTTTGTTTTAATAAGGCCTCACGGAGGGCAGCTCTTGATCGAACCTATTCGATGAGATCGAGGTCCTCCCTTAGTGCCTCGTTGTTGTTCTCTATGTCTAGAGGAGCTTCAGTCCGCCTGGAAGGCATATGTATTTCGATAGGGATTATTGCCTCAGTCTCGTATACTAAATGACAAGGGGTTTCCTCAGTCGAAGAGTAAGGCGAAGCACGGTAGGCCCAGAGCATGTTGTGTAGCTCCTTGACCCATTATTTCTTGGTTTTGTCTAGTCTTCATTTGAGACCTCGTAGGATTACCCTGTTGGCTGCCTCGATTTTCTCATTCGTCTGCGGATGTTCAACAGACACGAAGTGTTGTTTGGTACCTAGTTGGGCGAAGAAATCTTGGAACTTTTTATCCGTGGAACTGTGTCTCGTTGTCTGTGATGATTTCCTGGGGGATGTCGAAGTGAGCAGCGATGTTTCGCTTGTAGAGGCGGAGTATATTTTGAGCCATTATTTTGGATAAAGCCTCTGCTTGTATCCACTTTGTAAAGTAGTCCACGCCTATTATCAGGTATTTATTCTGATTTGACGCTACGACGAACGGTCCTAGGATGTCCATGCCCCACCATGCGAAGGACCACGTGGAGGACATTACTTTGAGCTTATTGAGAGGTGTCAAGTGCATGTCCCCGTGACGTTGGCATTTGTCACATTTTTTCACGCGCTTCTTTGCGTCATGCTTTATGGTCGGCCAGTAATATCCTGCTCGTAGGGCTTTCCTAGCAAAGGATATTCCTTCGAGGTGCTAGGCGTTGATCCCTTCATGGATTTAGTGTAGGACGTGGACGACCATTTCTTCCTCAACGCATTTGAGGAGAGGAATGGAGAATCCTCGCCAGTAGAGCTTATTTTCCACCAGGACATAGGAACAAGCTATACGGCTGACCACACTGGCTTCCCTTGGGTCGAACGGTAGTTATTCCTTGGCGAGGTAGTTGTAGACTGGGGTCATCCAGCAGTTGCTATCGCTAATGATGTGCACGGCGAGAATCGTGGGAGTTCTCTCGATGCTAGGCCGAGAAAGTACCTTTTAGATGGCAGATTTGTTTCCTCCCTTTTTCTTTGTGCTCACCAGCTTTGGCAGGACATCTTCCTGGACATTGTGTTCGTGAGGAACGTGCTTTACCTCCACTGATGTAAACTTTGTCATTTTTTCCTTGACCAAGGTCAAGTATTCGGATAGGTTTTTGTTCTTGGCCCGATACTCTCCCCGTACCTGGAGGGCCACGAGCTGAGAACTTGTGCAAATTACGACTTCCTCGACTCCCAGGTCTTCGGAGGGGCGCAGACCTGCAAGGAAGGCCTCATACTCTGCCTGATTGTTGGAGGTGGGGAAAGATAGGGTAAGCGAGACCTCGACGAGGATACCCTCCTCGTTTTCCAAGATGATGCCCACTCTGCTCCCTACTAAGTTGGACGCTCCGTCGACAAAAATTGTCCACCTGCGAAGATTTTGATTTCCATAATGAGATTTTGATTTTTGTAATCCATTCTCCTGCTAATTCGACTTTATTCTTGAAAATCTTTGTGTTGTGACCTTTCCATAAGACTCAAATGCTCGCAAACCAAATGACGCTTGAATATTTTGATCTCTTCACATAGTTCCTTATCCAACCTGCAAATTGAGCAAAGTTCGTCCATATAAATTTATGAAGCGTCGATGGTTGATTTAGCCACAACATAATCTTATACCAAATTGTAGAATTCATTGAACATTCAAAGAACCGGTGGGACAAAGTTTCCTCCACTCCACATTCTTTTGTGCTACCAACTTGAGATGCATTCAACACACCTCGTTTCACCAAATTATCCTTATTCGTATCTTGTTTTAAAACATTCTCCAAGCTAACAATGTCATATATAAAGGTACCACTTCACTCCAAGTTATTAATAGTTTTTGACCGTCCTCATTTGTCGATCTGTTCATTAGTACTGCACATGCTTCTTTAATAAAATACTTATCTTTAGACCATAACCACTTATTCACACGATTCTTCTTGAAATAAACTCTTACTCCAACTAAAATTCCACTTCTGCTCATCCCCCACGATTTATACAACTTCTTTAACAGTTACTATTTTTCTTCTAATATAAAAAGTAATTATGGATACCTAGTAATAAGGGGATACCCCATTCAACAAAGGATCTAACCAAAGTAATGGATTTCCCCATTTTCTAACTCTACACTTAACTTTTCCAACCATCAATTTGTTTTAAACCCCAAGCTCCATTATCAATGGAAATAATATCTTCCCATAAAGGTGAATCTATTCTCCATATTCACTCTACCATTGATGATGTCATATTTATTCTCTAATACTCTAGATCACATACTATCTTTTTCGCATTAGACTTAGACTTATTATTCCTATTTATGCTAAATAAAAATATTTTAAATTTTTTAGGCCCAATTCATCCTTATTTTTGTCTCGGTAAAATTTATCCAATCGAACCCAATTAACTTTTCAAACTTAAAAGAAAGAAAAGTAAAATATTGATAAGACAGATTTCGGCATGACTTCTTTTAACTATTAGTTACTACCTCCTGTTATTTATTATAAGCCGTTTTGATAAAATATTTTGTACCATAATATAAGTCGTTTTATAACATCAATGAATCATTAATGTTATTTTTTCTATTATAACCCTTAAATATTTATTATTTTCTCTTTTTTTAATTGTATAAATTTATATTTCCAAAATCATTAATAAAAAACTATTTTATAAAATCTTTTTTAATATTTTTTAATATTATAATTATTATTTTAATACGTATGAAAAGTCAAAAAATAATTTATAATAAAAAAATATAAGGAGTAATGATTAATGAAAATATTTTTGCCATTATGTAATAAGTTCATTATCTTCGGTAGGAAGAACACTCTTCCCTAAAATTGGCTGAGGTGATTATTTCAAATCATTTCATATTATGTAATAAGGTTTATAGCTGTCATAGAAAAAAATGATTGAAAATTTTAAATAAATCAGATCAATTATTGTTTAATTGTAGCAAAAAGAAAAAAAATGATGTTACTAAAGAAAGTATAGAAAAAAATATTATTTAAGAATACTTAAACTACTATAATCTTACTTAGATAAAAATTGCATAAGAATATCTTTAATGAAAGTATTTTAAGTGGGTAAATTAAGATATTTTTGATGAGTTTAAAATAAAAATTTATAGTTGATTTAAGTTGTTTTTATTTTTTTAATTATAATTATAATATAAATAATAATATTATATATTTTAAAATAAATAACATACGTTAGCTATATAATTATCGAAAACTAAAACTTATTGAATTAAATGTTATGTCATAACCATTTCAATGCAAATTCTATAGGATGATCGTTACTATAAAATTTTTAAAAAATCTCTAAACAAAATAGAAACAACACGTTTCATATTGAGTTAAATTAAATGAACCAAATCTTAATTTACCAACAAATTACAACACTAGTACAAGTGCAACGGAAACACTAAGTGACAAATCAAATAATTGAAAACCAAGTAAACTAAACTTTAAAACACAGAATAAACTAGTAGAGACAAGACCATTTATAACCACCAATAACCATGATGATTGATAACGATAAAATCGTATATAAAAGAAATAAAACATTTCATTTTCTCATTTTCTTCTTTATTTCCTTTTACATATTACAAATTAAAAGAGAAAGAACCTAAAAATAGCCACACATCACATGACATCACATGCAAATTCTTATCCTAAACAAAAAATATCATAAATTCTATGAACCCAAACTCACACATTACTCGACACGTGTCCATTCAGAGCTTTCAGTAGTACATGTCTTCTAGAGCTTAAACAAGTACTCATTAGTCAACATCTCATATTTAACAATCAAACCCACGCGACAAAATAAAAGCGTAAACCCCACGCGCTACTGCGAAAGTGCAATCTCTAGTTGATGAGCCAAGTAAGAAGGAGCACTCAAATGAGGAAGATGCCCCTCCGTGTCAAGCCACTGCACCGTACTCTTCCCGCCGATATGCTCCTTCATGTACGTCGCTACCGACGCCGGCACCGACATGTCCCTCGCCGTTTGCATGATACAACACGGTACTTTAACTAACCCTAAAATCCCTCTTAGATCACTGTTGAAAACCGTCCTTGAAACGAATAGTGATATGTCAGGTCTCATGTTGAAAAGTGTTCTAGAAAATTCTCTAACAGCTGTAGGAACATCCGCGCCAACCGCCAGCGGCGCGAAACCGTTCACCCAAGCTTCGTAGTTTGCTTCCATTGCAGAAAACACATGCTCAATTTCACCTTGCTCAAATCCACCGTGATAGTTTTCTCCATCATTCAAAAATCTAAACAAAAAATCAAACACAAAATTCTTAAACTCATATAAAATAACAAATTAAAACCAATCCAAGCTACAAGAACACAAGAACACAAACTTCATAACAAAATTAAAACGAATAGAAGTGACAAGAACAAAAGGTTCCTAACTAACTAACAAAATTAAGTTACAATTTATAAATTTGTTATAACTAACTCACTAACAAATTACAAATTAGTTATAACTAACTAACTAACTATGAGTTATATGCTAATGTTACCTTGGGGAGGCACCGATAAGGATGAGTTTGGAGAAGAGTTCGGGGCGGCGAATGGAAGCTAACATTCCGGTCATGGCGGAGATTGAGTGACCGACGTAAGCACAGTGAGTGACATGGAGGGAGTCGAGGATGTTAAGGAGGTCATCAACGTAGGCGTCAAGAGTGGTGTAACGGCGGAAATCGAAATGATCGGGGTTGACGCTACCGGCGCAGACGAGGTCGTAGAGGATGACTTTGTAGCTGCGGGTGAAGTAAGGAAGTACGCGCTGCCATGCTGATTGGTCGGTGCCGAAGCCGTGGGCGAAGACAAGGTATTTGTCGCCGGAGCCTTCGACGCGGACGTTGAATGCGTCGAGGATGGGAGTGCCCATGTTTTTGGACAAAATAGAGTTAGGAATTTGTTATTGGTCAACAGGGAGCGGTGTGGGAGTGGATTGAAGGGATTGATTCATAAGTTGGATATGGGTTGTGTTTTGTTGGCGTTTGGCTTTTGGGAATTTGGGATATGAACCAAAGGAAAATAGCCTCTTCTGTTTGTTTTATTCCTTTATTTGAATGGTATTTATAGCAAAGTTGTTTCAGAGACTTGATTTTACCCCACACATGATATATAGTTAATTGAATATAATTGCGACTATGGGTGGTACAACAAGTCCAACCCGTCTTATAAACATGTATGTTTTGTCCAATCAAAATTTTAGATTTTCGGTCTTTAATATTTAATATTTATGTTTTTTTTTTTTGGACGGATTTTATCAGACGCGAGAATATAATAAATTTTTGTAATTTTTAAATTAAAAAAAAATGTAATGTCGCGGATTTGCACGGTCCTACTCTCATTAATGTGTGAGATGATATAAAATTTTAGACTCACATTGATGTTCACTCCGTTCTACCCGTATTTTACGGGTTTTGCAGAACAAACATGTCTGTTTGCCATAATTAATTGTGATTAATTTAGAACTGGTTCGAACTTGTTGCAAGTTTTTCATTTTGGAATTTTGAAAGTATTAGGGATATATGAAAATAAAGTATCATATTGTTTTTGTGTTATTCTTTTATCTTATTGGTATTTATTAAGGGTGTTCAAATTTAAAACGATTCAAATAAAAACCGCAAATTAAGGAGATCACCATCTTAGAATCCTGAATCACATGAAGGTACGAATAGAAGAAGTCTCCTTATGAATCATTAAAGGGTGCCATGTGTACCCTTTCGTCTTTAGAGAAAAACCTTAGATGTCACCCCCTTCATCCCCGAATCCAGACATATTCAAGGCCTTGCGAAAGAAGTCCCCATCTTTCATTGCTTAGTATACAATGTATCGTATTCTTCAACCCCTGAATTTCGACTGTAAGAAAAGTCAATTAAATGTTGCATTACGAAATTGCTAAGTGTTCGCATTGATTGACATAAGTCGACATGAGTGGCAACATCGTTTGGAGCGTTCCGACTGGAACCTTGAGACATGGTTTGGAAGAATCTCAAGAGCAGATCTTGAGGTATGGTTTGTGTGAGTTTCAGGAACATATTTGAGTGACCATTTGACACCATGTCGAGGTCGAGGCGTTCGACGACCCTAAGGACTTAGAAGATCGGGGAAACCAAATATTGAAGAAAGGACTTAACACTATCAGCAACCACCTTCGACGAGTAAGTAGTTACTAGTCTCTAAGAGTAATTAAGAACGCGGGATAATGGTTTTCAGTTGTTTTCAAATACTGGCGATGTGGAAGGGCATCAAAAAATTAAGTTGCATGTCTTTGAAGACGTGTCGATTCTCTAAGAGTAAATTGTCAAAGACGATTATCCTTAGTTTAGTATATATAGCAGTTTCATATATTGTAATCAAAGTCGTAAATTTCAAATATCATCTCTATAGAACTAGAGTACCCAAGTCAAAGTGAGAAACAATTTTTGAGTAACATGTGAGTCTACGTCTTTTTTTATTATATTATCTTTATGTTTCCTTGATTGAAAAAGCTTTTCCTTTTGTCATTTACTGCAATTATTTAATGTTGTTTATTGCAAAGTTCTTTTACTTTAATTCAATTTTTTTATCTCTAATATCTTTTATGCACACAAACATTCATAGTCATTTCATATACATATTTTTCGGTAAACGTGTTTGCACAAAATCACTCCCAATATTTTTAGTTAATTTCACATACTTGTAAACTCGTGATTGTTCGCTAAAAACACCTACGAACAAATTGACACACTTGATGAGACGTATTGTGCAAAAATATTTTTCTTTTACAAGAAACTATCGTATCATCTAAACATTTTTGTTCTATTTGAAATGTTTTCAATGTTAGAAGTCATATGTGTTTGAGGAGTGGTAGGATTTTAGATGAAATGGTTAACCCAAAAATTACTTTTCTTCCCGAAATAATGCTCCAGACCTAGAACCAACAATCACTTCGACAATTGGTACAACAGAGAGAAAAAATCCTATTATCACAGGCTCATTTCTAACTTCAGTAGCGACTTCAATGTCAATACTAGAAGTAATAGTTGCTTTACTGGCAGTAACAAATGTAACAACTTCAATCAGGCCTACTTCATTGGTTGGAGGGGCCTCTAATCTCCCTTATGTCTCAAGTTTTACCCTACCCTTAAGTACTTGGGATTAACCATATGGCATGTCAACTGCCAAGAGGGAGGGGTTAAAAAGGCATGTCTTGACGTTTACAGATAATGCTGCAATGATAGCATCACTCCTCAATCTACATTTGGCGTCAGGATCTACCATAAGCAACCCTGGTCGAATGACACAATAATCATACCCCAAAATTTCCCCTAAATTAATAAATTGATTCATTCATAGGGAATTTGCATCATCGGCATATAATGACATGCATTTCTTTAGGCCTAATGCCTAAAAAGTCAACCAAAATAAAATTTCGGTTTTACAGACAGACCGGTTGATGCATTTCTCAATTGCACGTAAATTTAGTGGGCAAAAAATTTCGAGATAGGACTTGCAACTGTCTATTTTATGGATCTATGTTTCGCATAATTTAATCGAGTGTGCTTGTTTATTTTTTTCGCATCCTTTTATTCTCGCATTTTGTTCAATGTAAGCCTTTTCATTCGGGTGTTTTTTATCGCAAGATTTGACCCGCGATTGTCTGTTTTACAGAACTTTATTTCACATAGACTATTTTAATGTATTCATTCCTTTTTTTCACGCATTTTCTCGTCACATTTTTATTTATTTATCAAAATATTCCAAAAAGTAAATAGAATCAATAAAATATTCAGTTTGATTTTATTTGTTTTTATAAAAAAATATTTGTTGATTTTTATTTCATTCATTTTAAACTCATATTTGAGCACCAAAGTTATCTAAGGGAACTTTTGGAATAAAATTAAAATCAAAACCATAATGCACTTAATATATATATATATATATATATATATATATATATATATATATATATATATATATATATATATATATATATATATATATATATATATATATATATATATATATATATATATATATATATATATATATATATATATATATATATATATATATATATATATATATATACACATACTATAATCGACTTAGAGATGAGGGAGTTAACCAATCAATGTCACCCTTATTTCACAATTTCTCTATGATTTTTCAAAAGTGAAAGAAAAAAGTAAGAAAAAAATGAAAAGTGTGTAAATATACATATCTTGAACACAGTGCACCAAGGACCTGACTCTCTCTCATTTTGTTTGAAGCCACATTTCCACCTCATTCTACTTTGTTCATCTCCCTCATACACCAACTACAACTCACACAGAAAGTATTATTCATAAAAATCTACAACCTCTCATTTCACACAAAACAATATCTTGAAGGTGAAGAGAAACATAAGAAGGGGGTTGAATTGAGTTTCTAAAAAATGAAAGTTTTTTCAACCTAACAGAACAAATAGCAAACGAAGAACAAAAATAATGAAATAGTTATTTTTATACTTGTTCGCTATAACACAAGCTACCTCAAGCCTGTTAAGGGAGATTTTCACTAGGGAGCATTGAACATTGTAGGACTTTCCTTCCTAGAGGAACACCTTTATGAGAGACATACTACATACTCACCCAAAACCTTAAGGTGATAGGTGTGTGAGTTCTCCCACTTATGAATGCTCAAGTCACCATATTTATGTCCAGTGTGGGACTATTATCAACACTACTCACATTTATTATACTTAACACTCCCTCTAAATATGAGTATATCCTCAATGCTTCCACAATGCTCCCCTTTAAGTGGAAGCTTCAATTGTGCAACTTCATTTTCTGTTGTGTGTTTCTTACTCACCACCCTTATACCACCGTTAACATTCTTCAACGAGACACCTCCTAACCACCATCTATGGGGAGTACTTTTAATAACGTGAGTCAGTCATTCATTCGAACCAGGCTCTGATACCACTGTTAGGGGAGATTTTCACTATGGAGCATTGAACATTATGGGTTTTTCCTTCCTAGAGGAACACCTTATATACTCACATAAAACCTTAAGGTGATAGGCGTGTGAGTTATCCCACTTATAAATGCTCAATTTACCACATTCCTATCGAATGTGAGACTATTATCCACACTGCACACACTTGTTATACTTAACACAGTCCATCCGCCAAGGTGATTTCGCCTTATCAACAAGGACTTAATCCACTATAATTGTACTTAATTATAACTCAAAGACCAAAAATCAATGTCTTATTGAGTATACAGACCAAATCCTAGTCACTTAAGGAACAAAAATACAACCAAATAGATTGATACAAAGTGTGTTTACAAAATGCTTCTAAGTAAGCAGAATACACAAATGAAATACAAGTGTCACACAAAAGATTTACAATAAAGAGTATGAATAACATTTCTTGTGTGAGTGCTTATTTTCTCTCAAAGTATTCACAAATAACATTGTTCACATATGATGATAGCATAGTAAGTTTTGTGTTTTTCAATTCTTCCAAGTCTTCTTTATATAAGCAATGAAGAGATCCATTGGAGGGTAGAATTGGAATACCAAAATGCAGTTGTATCCTTGCATAACTGTTTTTGAAAATGGGAGAAAAAATGGTGTAATAGTACAATCCTTAGCCCACAAAATCAGTGTAGTGGAAGGAATATTTGATCCTGTACTATGTACTATTTTTATCGCGTAAAACATTTTGATCTTATCTTTAACATTCAGAAGCTTCTGATAAGTTGGTGATGAAGCATGTATAAGAGAAGAGTAAGAGTCTGGTTGAGAGAATCTTCAGAAACTTGGTCTTTAGAGTCTTGATCCAGTTCCTCATAACTTGGTCTTCAGAGCGTAACAGGTTTATAAGCTTCAGAGTATCAAAGCCTTGGA